ATTTAGATTATGCAATAGGTAATTTTCATTATATATTGAGCAAGAAAAGTCTGGTTTTCTAATCAGTTTTGTTGAACAGGTGCATGCTGGTCATTCTCAGCCACAGGAGCAATGGAAGGAATTAATCAAATCGTAACAGGATCCCTCATCAGCCTTTCTGAACAGGAGTTGGTTGATTGTGACAAAAGCTTCAACAGTGGTTGTGAGGGTGGACTCATGGATTACGCCTATGAATTTGTAATAAAAAACAAGGGAATTGATACTGAAGATGATTACCCATATCAAGCCAAACAAACTTCTTGCAATAAAAACAAAGTAATCACTATTCACTAGTATCTAGTTATCTATCATTCCCATCTTTATGTTCATTAGGCATTAACCCCATTTTTTTGGAAACTGCAGAGAAAGAGAAACATTGTCACCATTGATGGTTACAATGATATTCCTGAAAACAATGAAGATCAGCTACTTAAAGCTGTTGCAAATCAACCTGTGAGTGTGGGTATATGTGGCAGTGAAAGAGCCTTTCAGTTATACTCAAAGGTTAGTATATAGTACAAATCAAGAGGCTTTCAATTGAAAAAGGTTATTTTGGTAATTTTGTGATATAAATGGCTTCATTAAACTGATGACCAGGGGATATTCACGGGGCCATGTTCAACTGCTTTAGATCATGCAGTGTTAATAGTTGGATACGATTCAAAAGATGGAGTTGATTACTGGATTATAAAGAATTCATGGGGAAAATCATGGGGGATAAATGGTTACATGTACATGGCACGTAATACAGGGGATTCACATGGTCTATGTGGGATCAACATGCTTGCTTCTTACCCAATCAAAACTAGCCCTAATCCACCTCCATCACCTACCCCAAAACCAGTTAAATGTAATTTGTTTTCATGGTGTAGTGAAGGTGAAACATGTTGTTGTGCTTCAAATATTCTTGGGATTTGCTTGAAATGGACTTGCTGTGAGTTGAATGCTGCTGTATGCTGTAAGGATCATCGTCATTGTTGCCCTTCTGATTATCCCATTTGTGATTCTGAAAGAAACTTGTGTCTCAAGGTTAGTTTCTTGATTTGATTTATGACCAAATCATTTATGAATTTATGCTATTTCTCTTATTCAATTATCATCAGTGAATTGCGATTGACATGATTGCAGCAAACAAACAATGGTACGTTAGCAATACAGCCCAAGAAGAACAGCGATTCTGGCAACTCAGGTGGCCGGAGTTCCCTCCATAAGCAATACTTTTAAAGGTGATGATGGAAGAATTTTGCTCTAAATTATTCGGAATCATTGTAGATTCTGAATATGTATCAAAACGATTTGTAAAGCAGAGAATAATTTCAATACTATTTATCAGAATCTTTACAATATAAAGGGAGTATAGCAAACCCACAAAATCAAAATTGAAAAGAACTAATTCAGTACCTATAAAATCATATCTTGGATTCATGAATCATGAAGATGACGATGGAAACACATCTTTTACAGCAGAAGCAGCGGATAGATAATTAAGAGTATTCTTCAACGTCTCCTTCTCTCTCTTCAACCTCACCATCGTATCCTCCAATTCAAGCAACGCCTGCTGTTCCCTCGGCGCGCCTTCAAACGTACTCCCCACGAAAAACGAAAACGGCGTCGGAAATAGATTCCGGCGTAAATCCCCGGCTTCCTTCTCTGGCTTTCCATTCAATCGATTCGATAACCTAATCACGTCCTTCATATGGCTCTCCACTTCGCTTGCTAAGCCTTCTAAATCCTCTTCCCCGTTCCCCGACGGTCGGTCCTCCAACCACACCACCTCCGCCACAAGATAGGGTTTTGTGCGGACGATTTTTGTCACGCGGAAACGTTCCTGACCTTTACATATGATAAAAAACCGGTCATCCACGAGACGTTCGTGTTTCACGACCTCGCCGACGCATCCGACGTCGGCCGTACCGGAGGTTGCGTCGGTGTAGATGACGCCGAAACGGAGGTCGGTTTGGAGGAGAGTGTGCATCATGATACGGTAACGGTATTCGAAGATCTGTAAAGGGAGGATGGCGCCGGGGAAGAGGACGAGTGGGAGAGGGAAAAGAGGCAGCTCCACGATGTCATTCGAATTGGTGGATGCGATGTTTTCGTGTCGTTCGGAGGAGGAGGAGCAGCGGAGGGAGGATGTGGAGTTCCGGTGACGGCGGCGAAGGTGGTGGGGAGGAGAGATTTTTGAGTGAAGTGAAAATGAGAGGGTGTGATGGGGGTTTAAGCGAGGGTTGTTGTGGTGGGTGAGGTAAGAGGAAGAAGGGGAAGGGAGGAGTTGAGGGAGAGCCATTAATGTGTGGTTTCGAAAGAGAGAACGACACTGCGCATTTGGGGGGAGAAGAAGAAGATGATGAAATTGAAGCTCTCTCTCTCTCTAGAAAAAATTTAGAGAGAGAAAGTAAAGGTTTTGGTGGATTTGGAGAGACCGTATGATGTGGATAAGAGTTTTTGTTTCTGATTTTTGTAGTTTCTTATGTGGTTATCTATTCCACACGTGGAAAATTTATAGCATTTACAACAAAAGATATTTTTGACAATAATGTCATCGATTTTTAGAAATCCTATTGAACAAGATATAATAAGTAACCTGGGGGATGAAATAAAAGTGAGCTAATTGGTATTTGTGTAAAAAGGACAAATGTACGATGATATAATTGAATTCACATTGTAAAAGATGGTAAATGGAGGAAATTGAAATGTTATGATGTAGGGCTTTTGAGACTTAAGATGTCCATGTAAAATTGGAACAATCGATACATGTTATGAGATGTGTAGACTTAATAAAAGTACGGTGCTATAATATAGGTTATTCTTAAAGCATCCAAAACACATAGGTTGAATGAATTGACTGGGATGTCATGTTGATATTTAACGAATCCTTAAACCCATGCAGAAAACCACTTCTACATTTCCGAAACCTGAAACCTTAAATTGGTCAAACTCTCGGACAGACCGCCCACACTGAACCACTACCATGCCAAATCCTCAAAAGAATCCCAGACCAAACAAAACGCTTCTAACCCTTGATTATCTTAATGCTTCCATTGGGAACCAAAATCACTAACCATATACTGCTCCAGAACTCTTATACTTGACAAAAGGCTCAGATAATCCTTCGAGTAGAAGATTCGTCCATGCAACAGTTAGACTCAAACAAGAGCTGCGCAACAGGGTCAAATCAATTACTTTGAGATTATTTAATCCAAACTGCAAGTGACTTAGCATATACTCCAAATAACAAGCGACTCCACACACAAATCCCAAATCACTGATACCGCCCCGACTCATCTTGCTACCCCCTAGCTGCTTTCCAAAAGCAGCTGAGACCTCCCTGGTCCCAACTTGTCCGCCAACTAACCGAAACACCGGACTCCCGCCCGGTTGCTGAGTCAAAAGACACACATATTCCCCCACACGACCTCCGAAAGAAAGCCTCATCGGGCAATAATTGCCCAAACTACCTCGCCACCAAATCCAATGCTGAGAGTGAATGCTACATAACCAACTGTAGTCTTATATCATACCTGGCCTCCAACGACCTACCACTTCCTGATTCCAAACATGTTGTGGCCCTCCCACAATCTTACGAACTGACTCATCCTGGTCTAATCCATCTGAAGAAATCTATGACCATGCATGGATTTGTCACACCCTCACCGTTGCACAGGGACCGGTGAATGTTACGGGCCACCCCACAGTCTTACAACACTCCCATACTGACTGCCAACTAGTGAATGCTACGGGCCACCCTGCAGTCTTACAACACTCCCACACTAACTGCCAACTAGTGAATGCTACGGGCCACCGCACAGTCTTACAAACACTCCTATCTTGCCATGGCCACCGCCTATGGTCTTACCGCATTTATCAATCCATCCCTACACATCCAGAGTCGAACACGCACCCGACCAAGCGCCTGACTGGGCTCGAGCCATGCCTGGAACCCCAACCTGGGTCCACCAAAAGCCCGCTATCCATCGCCACGAAGGCGCTAACCCACTGTTGGGAAGTTTCCTGGACTCCCACTCCCACAATACTCAATCCAGATGACCACTTGGGCTGCCTCCCTCCCCGATGGGGTGTGAAACTCATCCTAGTTTCATGCCTGATCCTGCTCCCGGAAGTTTGAATGGTCTCCCCCACTTTGATTCGACGAAGCTCTCACAGCACACAAGGTTTGAAGGATACCCAATCCATCTTACCCCTTATAATTGAATAGCTAACAACCTGCGCTTACCATTGCTAATGTTCCATTACTAGCCGAACCCAAAGACCGCACAACCCTTGAAGACCAGATGAACACTCCCAAAAATCTCAGCAATCTGACAGCCCCAAATACTTCCGATGATTCAACACCCAAATCTTGAAGCCCTTCTGCTGGTGACAATACCAAAACCGTAGCAATAGACCACTTCCCTTGGCACTCCCGGTGGCCAACCAAGCTAAAATGCTAAAACCACTGAACCCCGACGATACTGGAGAACTAACCCACTGAACCTGACCATAGACCTTCAACACAATACCCCTGAACCGATCTCGACCAAGAACCAGAATAACAATCGAACACATAGAAACCCGCTCAACAAGATGCAACCCCTTCTGACCCGCTAATGATTCATGGCATGCAAATGGCATATAACAATTCTTAACGATACAACTCAATCAGTAACAGCGAATTAAACCAAAGATAACGCTTACCCAAATCGATACAAATTCCAAACAACATAAATATTGATAATAACCGAAAAGAAAGCAAAAGATAACATACCCGCAATATCACCTGCTGGAGTCCTGGCCTCCCCTGTCTGACACTGCAATGTCCAACTCCTCTCTGTTGGGGCTCCTGTCCTTCCCTCGCGACCATCAGTGATCCTCAAAGTAGCTGGAGCAGGTGCACTCACTGCTCCTCCCCTCAACATCGGACAATCGGCCTTCTTGTGGCCCACTTGGTTGCAGTGAAAACATAATGGGCTTGCCCCTGAGGACAATCCCTGTTGACATGACCAACCCTGCCACACTTGTAGCAGCCCAAACCCCTAGAACGACAAACCCCATCGTGCAGTTTCCCACACGTGCTGCATTGGCTCTGGCCCTACTGGCCCCTCAAATATTGATCCGAAGTCTTGGGTCTCTTCCCGAGACCCTCCACTAAATGCACCTGATTTGGCCCCCTCTTCCCTAGGTGCTCTAAATCGATCTCCCGTTCTCGGGCTCTAGAAATCATATCATTCAGGGTCTTGCACCCTGATATACTCATAAACTCCCTGATGTTATCCCGCAACATATCATGATACCTTACATTCTTCATCTCCTTGTCCGGTGCATACTGCGGAACCAATAAGGCTCTCTCCCGGAACTTGGAAGTGATCTCTGCCACAATATCAATAGTTTGGCGGAGATCCTGAAACTCTCGCGCCAACTGCTGCACCTCAATCGCCGGTGCAAACTCAGCTCGGAACCTGGTCAAAAAATCATCCCACATCATAGCATCAACAACATCATCACCCACCTCACGTCTTACCTCTTCCCACCAATCCCGTGCCTTGTCCTTCAAAAGGTAGGAAGCAAATCTGACCTTCGACTCCTCGGGATAGAAACTCGTCCTGAACGCGTTAACTATATCTGCTAACCATCTCCTACCGGCTATGGGGTCCTTCTCCCCATGAAACGGGGGAGCTCCACAAGCACGAAACTCGCGGAAAGAAAGGTTGCGAGCTACAATGATAGCCAAAACCTCAGCACGGAACACGCCCAACCGCTCATCCAAAATATCCAGAATCCCCTCCTTGACCGAACCAAATATCACAGGAGTCTACTCCAAAATACCGCGGGTAATATCCGATGAGATAAACTCCCGCATCTGCTCGCTAATCGGCTCAGTACATGCACCTGATCCGGAACCAGAACTAGAACCTCCTCCCTGAGTGCTCATCACCAAACTGAAACACGACATGCAAATGATCAGAACATACCCAAGAATCCTCCTCCCACAAGCTTCTTAGATTCTCCAAGACTCTCCCGATTCGAGTATGGATCCTGTGCTTTCAGTAGTACGATCCCAATACTACCTTCCACACCTATCCATACTTTCCTCAAAAATCATCCTGAATCCTCTAAGTCACCTTCTCAAGCTGATGCACCAAATACTCACTAAACAACGCAACTGAACCGACTAAAGCACTTCCTAGGCTCTCCTAGGTTCCCGACCTCACTCATCCCTCGGCTGCTGAAAGATTCCCACTGATGTCAATTATCTACCTCATGAATATAATCACATGCAACATAGATCAGATAATCCTTCGAGTAAAAGACTCAACCCTAGAATGGTTGGACTCAAACGAGAGCTGCACAATAGGGACAAATCCATCACTCTGAGATTATTTAACCCGTGCCACATGCGACTTAACATATTCACTTAGTAACTGATCCACATCACTAAGAGTCCCACAGAGCACAAAGCAAGCAACATTCAAGCAACAAAAAATCTAACCAGCATACACTAATCAAACCATTCTATCCACTTATTTGAAAACCATACTAGCATGCAATTTTGAATGCTTATACAATCAGGCATATAAAGGCATCTCTCCTATCATAAAACCCTGAGCAGATCCTTAGTCCTAATCTAGCATGCAGTTCTCATAATCATATCATATATCATAATAAACATGTATTGGTATTTTGGGAACCACTTACTTGAGCTCGACCGATTGCACGCATCACACCCCTTTCTTTGATTAGATACCCCTTTTATAAAACATTTATTTTATAAAAAGTTTCACCAAACCCTCAGTTTGAGTTCAGGCATACCCGAGAGTATGCCCGGATCCCTCAAACCAAGGCTCTGGTACCAACTTGTAACACCCCAAAAATTAGAAGGTAAAAATTTCATTTTAATATAGTCAAAACACTCATTTATCCTTTATTCAAACATTTAAAAGTATTTCAGAATTAAACAATTATCAGAGTGAAATTCCAAAATCACGAGTTACGGAAAACACGGGTGTATGCATTGTGATCAAGCCGGGCCCTTCCCTTTCGAACTGGAAGTACCTGAAACCATAAACCACAAACTGTAAGCACAAATCTTAGTGAGTGCCCCAAATACCACATACCATACATAACATACGAGCCATACATATCAATCATACAATAGGAGGTGCTATGTGCCAACCATACTCTTGCCATTATGCCACGAGATGTATCATGGTCTTTCCTTGCTAGGCCGGGGGCCAAAACCCTGGATCTTACAGACAAGTGCTAGGAGCCACCTCCTGGTCTTCAGTGCAAACATCACAAAGACAACTAGCAACTACTTATCTACTTAATTGCCAGAGTCCAAACTTTGGTCTTGCATACAGATCTTCCAGGAGCCACCTCCTGGTCTTTCATACAAATGCCAAGGGCCACCCCTGGTCTTCCTATAATACACAAACCAAATGGACCGGCATTGGTGCCTTCGAC